GAGACCTGACAGGAACTAAGAGCCGTTCTTATAACACTGCCAAGCTCAGAGGAATTTTGGGTTCCTTTTGCCAGCAGGATGAACCATTTGGCGTTTTGAGTGGATAAAACACAGACTATACACCGTTAGCTGACCTTCTGTTCGACAGTTCCGGCTATTTTCTGTCTTGGTTTTTGCCAAACTGTAAAAGCTCAAGGATTTGAACTTCCTAAACATTTAGCATTATTTGATATTTGTCAAAACCAGGTACTCATATTACCTACAGTCCAGTTACAGTTTGCTGGGAGTATTCTAAAACAGAGTTGAAGTAGCATCACACAATTGTTCCCTGGTGTTTGTTTGTGGTATTGTACACCCCTAGATGCCCCAATGACCTCCAAATAAAATCAAACTTGTAAGAAAAATGAAAATAGTAATTATTGTTTTGAAGGCTACTTCCTCAAGTTTTAAAGGATGGAAGTTGGAGTTTTTCTGGAGCTTTTCCATCCATCCATCCATTTTCATTCGCTTATCCGGAGTCGAGTCTCTATAGAGCTCCGGACCCCACGTGACTCTCAGTTAGTGGACGCCATTTTGGCATGCAAAAAAGGTAAACAAACACGGATGTAACCATGAACATGAACGGGATCCGCTTGGATTTTACTTCGTCGGAGTTTACTTCACACTTTAAAACAGAAGAAATCGTTTTATATAGTCAGAAATTCAATAGACTAAACATCTCCGACCGTTACCGTGCCCCTGGGATACTTTTTAAAAACGCCAGAAGCTGTCGGAGCGGACTTCTTACCGGCACAACACCGGACCTGGCCGGGGGAACCCCTTGGGATTCCCCCGGCTGGAGGAGCTGGGGAGAAGGTCTGGGACTCTCGACTCTAATGCCCGCTCTGACGCCAGAAGCTGTCGGAGCGGGCTTCTTACCAGCACAACACCGGACCTGACCGGGGAACCCCTTGGGATTTACCCGGAGGAGCTGGCTCGGCGGCTGGGGAGAGGGAAGTCACGCTACTGCCCCCGCAACCCGACTCCGGATACGCGGATGAAAATGGATGGATGGACGGACAAATAACAGATTTACACGTAAGTAGTCTCGGTGAGACAGATAATAGCAATCCAAAGTGCTTTTTATGTGTGATCTGACAATTGATCAACCATTGCTTAAAAATTAAATACAGCTTAGCCGGTTAATTGCTGTGATCATAAAACACGGAAACGGCAGCACGCAGAAATCACGAGGCAACGTTTTACGTGACGTTTACTTGTTGCTGTGAGTAATAAGACAGAAAAAGCCACGCCAAAATAAGTTTAGGAAGCCCACTAAGAATCGTAATAAAAGCATTTAAAATAAATACCATAGACAGTTGAGGAAACGTTGGTTTAAGTACCTGATATGAAGTGGTCGCTGCATAAGCAAAAACCTTTACTCTCGGGATCCCACAGTTTCATTTTCGCCCGGTCACTAGTGCGTTTTATTACAATGATCCAACGTTTGCGGCGCTCCGGATCTTGGGGAATCCTGTAGATGGCTCATTCCTTATGCCGTCCGCGTCTGTTCTGCATCCTGGGGCACAACAGGATTCTACCATATTTCCCATTTGATTGAGTTTTCTGACAATAACAAATAGTCCAGCTGCGGGCTTCTGCATGCCAATATGGCGCCGTTTCGATTTGAACTGTTGCATGCCGGGAGAAGTGACGTCAACTCCCGGAGCTCTATAAACTAAGTTTATCTGCATTTCTAACCACTTAATGAAACCACTCTGAGTAAAGGGATTTCCAATGCATGTGTGGGGCTGTAAATCTGAGGGTAAAATCAACCATCAGGTGAAGTGTGCAATCACCACCAAATCAAAGCAAAGTCCACTGAAAACCAGTGAACAGCTGTACGATACCGCCGCACAGCTGGCTGTTGCTCATAACTGCAACAGATGATGCAGGAGTCATAGGCACATTATCTGTGGTGAGTTCACTGGAGGACAGATGGAAGAGCAGGTTTAAGGCACAACAGGGATTATCAATACAAGTAACCTACATTACAGATTTTGCAGCTGAATACTGACATAGTATAGCTTCTGATGCACCAAACAATAGCTGCTAGAATGACAGTGACAACCCAGATGAGGAAGAGACATTGTGTGAAGGTAACAAATAAGAGATTTATAAAAAAAATAAAATAAAAAAGGAACCCTCCTATATAATTACTAGTGGTAGAGACCCTGTTGAGCAAGCATGTCGACATAAAGAAGCCACAGCAAAGCCAAATTAGGGGTCAGCTCCAGCGAAAGGTATATTTAGTCATCCGATGGCAAGCTTTTTAAAAACAACACACCCTTTCACCGAGTCACATGGAGGATCTGAAAAACTTCCTCATAAACATAAATCTGAGTGAAGTAGGCTAACGAGAGATTACTGTGTACTGTTTTCTGTCCAAGCACTGAATGTGCCTCTGTAGACCGGTACAAATAACATAATCACTAGGCTCCTTTTCTTTTAATTAAAGGAGGAAAAAAAGAGGGAAAGTTTACTATTGACAGCTGCATGTGCATATGTTTAAGACATCATCAAGCAACTCTTTAAATCTGACTAATACACTGGAGCGAGTCAGCTCCTAGAAAGCAGTATTGAAGCAATTGTAAAAAGTTTCAAAATGCCAATGGGACTAAAGACTAACGATCTCTGAAGTGTGATTTTGGAAAGTCAGTGTGTTGTGAACATTGGTAATCCCTCACTCACACTACAATCACAAATGTTTGACTCGATGCTGGTTTGGCATTGGGGAATCTGTGCAGGAATATTTTTCAGAAGCTTTAAAAGTCCAGCTGAAGGTCTTGTGGTTCCAAGCTGGTGAATGGTAGTCACTGATGGTAGCCTTTTTCCACTCTCCTTTAAATACAACTACAGCCAAGTACAGGTTACTTCAGCCTTCAGAGAGGTAAAATACGCAAGTCTGGGTTTCAAACTTACTAAAAACACAGACCAGATGTTCTGCAGTTTTTCCTTTTTTGGCTTAAAAATATGAAAAATAAAACTTTCTTTCAAGAGGACATTTTCAAGGCTTTTCCCACCAGTCAGGGAATATTTAAAGGAGCTGTAACATTCACAACAACCCTGCTACATTTTTCCTCCTCTTTTTACCTTCACAACAGGACTCCTTTCTCTCCTGCTTTTCTTTAGGCCTTCACTGATTTCATGGTGGTACTTTTGGCCAGCAGACACACAAACCTCCTTTGGAGCACCGTTTGAAAACTCGGCCCATCACCCCGAGGCTGCAACAACACTAACAGTGTGTCCTCCTGAACTGGGCATACACGGTACACAACACGCTAATTTCACACTTTCTTTAGAGGGATAAATCTTTAAACGCCTATCACGCAAACTTCTCGCGATCTAGCCAGAGGATATGGGTCAAGCATTTATTCTTGAACAGATTCTAGTAGAATCTTCTCATTCCTTACACACAGGTTTCCCTGCAAAGTAAACAAAAGTAAGGTTTTCTACCTTTTTTGGGGCCAACACTAATACTAACTGGAACTAACAAACATTCAACTTGAGATGAAAACTTTATTTGGACTTTATTATCATTTGTAGTCAAAATTATTTCAAATTAAAAGCTTAAAATGCAAAAATGAGTGGTTGAAAATGGGCCACATCACAGGGAGGCCACAAGGGAGCAGCAGTCTGACCATTAGAGGTGCCGGAAATCCATCAATTTATGTTCAAATCAAGATTCGACTTATTTATAAAGATTCTGAATCAATCCAAAATTTTCAAGTTTTGTTTCTTGAGAAGGCATTTTCCAAACATTTCCTTGCCTCCTCGCTTTGTGAGTCAATGGCTTCTGTATTGTATCATTCTAAGAAGTGATGCGTGAACTTCCAGTGCAACCCACTCCATCACATTCACGGCTCACAACATTGCAGACACCTGGTGGATTTCTAACTCACAGAAGAAAGTAGTTCACCCTGGAATTAACACTCTTTGTTACTAAGAGTATTGATTGTGGATCGATTTGAATCAAGAATTGATTCTTAGTCAAATCTTCACCCCGAGAATCTGAATCAAATTGTAAGATTCTTAAGGCACCGACCAATGATCGATTCACGTGGTATGAAACTGTACCTTGTTTTGGTACCATGGAGTTTGGTACCTAATTTCCAAAGATAGACAGCAGCGCATGTGCAAGAGTCGTCAGTCGCTGTGGGCCAGCTTTAAACAGAGCAAGAAGCATGGTAGAAAGAGCACGCTCTAAAGTTTGGGTCCACTTCACTAAATGCGATGGGTGACTGAATGATGATGACAACATTGACAACGTTCTAAGTGAGTTATTATTAGTCATTATAAGGAAATAATCACACTTGGTTTCAGAACAGTTGATGACCTAAACACCCTGACCTTTGCCATTCAGATTAAAACAACTCTCATTATGACTGGTTGCACTTCTGCTTCACACTTTTAGCTTCAGAAGGGTTTGAAATATGTGCTAAAAGTACTGATTAGCCAGATTTACCTCTACTTGCATTCTTGTGCACATTTCATTTGGAGAGCAGCTTGACAGCCCTGGTTACAATTGCTACATTTTGACTGAATGACCACTGTTTGGAGCAGGTGCTTAGCAATTTAAGAGCAAAGCCAAAGAGGAAAGTTAGTTGTCAGGAGCCCACTGAAAGAAGTCTGTGCATGCGATCGAGCTGCTGTTCTTTAAAACCACCCTCAGATACACAGTAGCTCAGATGATAAACAACAGTAACAGAGATAAAGAGGTATGAAACACAAAATCAACAAATAGAAACACAGAGAGTGTTTTGGGAGGGATAGGAAAACAATTACAAATCAGATCAGGGTTGGGTTGCCGAGGTTTGGTCATGCAGACAAATAAAGCCCCAAGGTCAGAACAGGTGGGGGTGGGATAACCATGCAGCTTTCAGGCACCAAAGCAGCTGAGTATTGGTCTGCACAGCAAACAGGGAGGAGGAGGAGGGAGCAGGAGGAGTAGAGTTTCTGACCTGTGGCTCCTAAAAGATGTGACGACGCTCTTCCTCTGGAGAGAATTATAATATCCTCAGGCTGGGGGTGGGGGGGGGGTGGGGTAGAAGACAGACAGATCAGACAAGAAGGTTACGTGGTGTGTCACTGAGTGTGAACCTAAAGGGGAAAGAACATTGTACAAGAGTGGTTAGAAGCCAGACAGTGGTTAAAAACAGGTGATGAATCACTGATAAACAAGTTAAACACCACAACTGTCACACACACACACACACACACACGTCCTCTAATCTACGCCCATATTGTCACCTCTTATTGTTCATCAGGCTTATGTGCTGAAGTTCTCTTTGAAGAAGGAAGATGAGGCTAAAGCTGCCACCATTCTGGGAGGCTCTGGTCTACACTTCTGTCAACAACAAACGACTGTTCACATAAAACTGTGGTCAGCCAGGTCACTGAAACAACCACAGGTAATAAAGCTTTAGTATCAGCAAACACGGAGAAACTAAAACTCTGACCTGTGTTCTATTCTAACGTCAAGTTAAATATTGGCGATGCTAGAATACACACAACTTCTATGAGAACACTGACTGTTTATAGTTATCAGTTTGTTTAAGGGACAACCTCAAAATCATCAAAGTTAAATTGTCAATCATAGATCATGTAGCCACAAACAGAACCAAAGTATGTTATTTGTCTATTTCCTTGATTATTAAAGTGTAATCAGGAACCTCTTAACATTTCTTATCTGACTCCTTCAGTCTTACTGCCTCTCTGGACTACCGTTGGGTTGAATATGAATGGATTGCTTGCTTTTTTAACTGAGTGTTTGTTTTGTCTCCTTCCAATTAGTGATGCACCAACATGAAATTTTTGGGCCAATACCAATATCCGATATCAAGATCACTGTTATGGTCAATAACCGATATTTGCCGATACCGATATACTGACATTAATACTTCTAAAATCAACAGATTATGTATAAAATGAAAATTATTAAAGCTGAATTTACGTTATTATGTACACACACCACACACATTTATGCTTCTGAGATGATTACGATCACTGTCACATGGCTAAACAAATACACATCACTCTCCTCACCCTCTGAAACAGATAAACAAATGGAGACAAGATGGAAAAAATATCGGTTTTTAATATACCGATATTTTAAAAAATGACTAACATTGACCAATACTGATGCTGATATATTGTCCATCCCTACTTCCAATGAATAAAGTCTGGGTTACAAAAGCAGCAGCCTTGGTGGGGATCTGTCCAGCCACCTCCACCAGCTCCTTCTAAGTGTTCCCAGGCCAGGGGTATAATCTCTTCACCATGTGCCTGGCTGGTCTCAAAGTCCTCTTTCCAGAAGGACAATCCCAGCTTTGAAGCACCTTTTCTGGCTCTTCTTGATAGAACAGTGGTTCTACTCTGCACTCCTCCCAGATGTCCAAGCTCTGCATTCATGGTCTTGCTCTTCTGGTCATGACCTAAAAGCTCATGACCATATGTGAGGTTTGCAACACAGATTTACTGGTAATTCCAGCTTTCCTTTCAGCTTACTTCCCACTTAAGCACAACAGAATTGTAGATCATCTACATCACTGTAGACTAGGGCTGGGCGATATATCGAAAATTTATCGTTATCGAAATTTCTGACTCTTATCGTGATAAGTTTTGCCATGCCAAAAAATTTGATAATAAAAAAAAAATCAAAAGATATGTGTAGGTTGGCAACATTCATGTCCCTTTAAGAAGCTGTACCACCTTGAGTCACGTAAAAATGTGACACAATGTAATATACGTGACAGCCCCATCTAGTGGACACATTTTGTCTCTGTACATACCTGTAGTTAACGTCCATTTATCGTTATCGAGGTGAAATCCTCAGTATATCGTGATAGTAATTTTAGGCCATATTGCCCAGCCCTACTGGAGACCCTGCCCTGATCCTCCTGTTGACCTACCACTCCCTTCTTTCTTGAAGAATAAGACCCTGAGACATATCAACTTCTCCATTTGACCTGGCGTAGGCAACACAAACATTTCAGTTCAGGACATTTAAATTTAATATTTTGTATTAATTCAAATAAAAACAATACAAGAAAGAAACCCTCTTTAGTCGAAAAGAAAATTCTATGTCTTTCACTTTTAGGTGCACTTAAACTATTATTTTCCTAGTTGATGAAGGAAAGCAAAAATGTTCCTGCTACTGTCACAGATGGCCGGGCCTCCATTTTAACAGTTTCCAGTCTGTTCCCTTAGACTGCTTCCCTGAGCAAAATGAAAACCCTTCACAACAATACTCAACACCCAGTCCCCGGAGGAGAGATTTACTCCACTAGTTCATCACATCCCATCACTGAAATCCTGACATCACTTGAATTTTAAAATTGTACTACAAATGCCAGGAAAGACATTCCTGGCATAAAAAAATGTGCCACAGCAGCATAAATCTTCCAAATAAATGAATTAAGGTCACCTAAATAAACCCAGATATGCTAATTCATTGGTATTTGCCTGGTTGAGGAAGCTTTACTGTATAAAAGAATAATCAGATTAGAGAGAACAGACCACTGACTACCCCTCCTCTAGGGCTTTGAGTTAAAGCTCTCATTTAACATCTATCATGGTGAACTCGGAGTGGCTGGGATGTGTTGGTGTAAGTAGCTTTTAACCACCAAACTTCCGAACAAACAATATTCTACAGGCGTTAGGAACCAAAACTTGAAGCAGAGAATAATAATGACCACATTTAAGGTAAAAAGGGTTTTAACCAGAAAGATTAGCTCACCATTCAGGTTACTTGTTAGAAAAACCTACTCGTAATGGCTCAAAATTATGTTTTATGCACAAACTTTGCATTTCTGAAGAGTTTTCTTTCTGGGAGCTCAGTAGTTATGCTTTATAAATGAAAAAAAAAATTCCAATATTTTTTTGAAACTTTGGTAACCTCAGATGACAATTGTCCAAAGACAAAGAACAACCTTCATACTTGACAACCTAGATCTCTGTAAAATGTGTCAGACTTTTCTATTGTCACTCCATCATGAAGTGAAGACAAGAATATGTTTGCAAACAAGCAACAACCGATGACAACAGATCAGACGACCGCTATGGAGTCGCAGGACTAGTTGTCAGATACTCAAGATTGATGACTCGAAGGTCAAAGGGTGCATCCCCCTAGACATCCTCAGGAAACACTTTCAACTGGCTTTCCTTAATTCCCACAAAACCTTGTGACAGCCGATACAGAGTTTATACAAAGAAGCCATCAACCACAATGACACTGTGCCTTCATACGTCTCAATTCAGGAGGTGCTAGGGGGATGTCGAGGACATGGAGCACCCTAAACCACGCCCTTGGTGACACAGCGGTCTGGGGAGGTGACGAAGAGGAAATGGAGATGTCACGGTTTTGGGGGTCTTAAGTGATGACTGAACTTGAGTGAAGGCCATGCAAAGCAGGCCTCTTTGTGTCAGAACAAACGTGTTAATGGTTGCACTTCAGAAACTCACCCATCGGTGAAAATGCTAATGAGAAGTGATATTTCACTCAGTAATGGTGGAACCTGATTGCCTCTAGATCTGATGATAAGGCTCCAGTTTAAAGGTCGACCAGCTCATCTTTACTCTTCCAAGTGCACCGGATACTCAAATCCTGCATTCTTGAGTTTAAACCAACTAACAAAACGATGCAACACAACACCTTCAACAGGGTTTCTCACTACATATTTGTACATCTACAAGCATCAATAAGCTCAGAAAAAACAGTTAAAGAGCAAGTCACCCCCAAATCAACTTTGTTTTCTGATAAACTATTTACAGTGGGGCAAAAAAGTATTTAGTCAGCCACTGATTGTGCAAGTTCTCCCACTTAAAATGATGACAGAGGTCAGTAATTTTCATCATAGGTACACTTCAACTGTGAGAGACAGAATGTGAAAAATAAAATCCATGAATTCACATGGCAGGATTTTTAAAGAATTCATTTGTAAATCGGGGTGGAAAATAAGTATTTGGTCACTTCAAACAAGGAAAATCTCTGGCTCTCACAGACCTGTAACGTCTTCTTTAAGAAGCTTTTCTGTCCTCCACTCGTTACCTGTATTAATGGCACCTGTTTGAACTCATTATCTGTATAAAATACACCTGTCCACAGCCTCAAACAGTCAGACTCCAAACTCCACTATGGCCAAGACCAAAGAGCTTTCGAAGGACACCAGGAAAAGAATTGTAGACCTGCACCAGACTGGGAAGAGTGAATCTACAATAGGCAAGCAGCTTGGTGTGAAAAAATCAACTGTAGGAGCAATTGTCAGAAAATGGAAGACATACAAGACCACTGATAATCTCCCTCGATCTGGGGCTCCACGCCAGATCTCATCCTGTGGGGTCAAAATGATCATGAGAACGGTGAGCAAGAATCCCAGAACCACACGGGGGGACCTGGTGAATGGCCTGCAGAGAGCTGGGACCACAGTAACAAAGGTCACCATCAGTAACACACTACAACGGCAGGGAATCAAATCCTGCAGTGCCAGACGTGTTCAGCTGCTAAAGCCAGTGCATGTCCAGGCCCGTCTGAAGTTTGCCAGAGAGCACATGGATGATACAGCAGAGGATTGGGAGAATGTCATATGGTCAGATGAAACCAAAGTAGAACTTTTTGGTATAAACTCAACTCGTCGTGTTTGGAGGAAGAAGAATACTGAGTTGTATCCCAAGAACACCATACCTACTGTGAAGCATGGGGGTGGGAACATCATGCTTTGGGGCTGTTTTTCTGCTAAGGGGACAGGACAACTGATCCGTGCTAAGGACAGAATGAATGGGGCCATGTTTCGTGAGATTCTGAGCCAAAACCTCCTTCCATCAGTGAGAGCTTTGAAGATGAAACGTAGCTGGGTCTTCCAACAAGACAATGATCCCAAACACGCCGCCCGGGCAACAAAGGAGTGGCTCTGTAAGAAGCATTTGAAAGTCCTGGAATGGCCTAGCCAGTCTCCAGACCTCAACCCCATAGAAAATCTGTGGAGGGAGTGAAGAGTCCTTGTTGCTCGGCGACAGCCCCAAAA